GACCCCCTGTAGATCCGCAATGTCCTGCGACTGCTATGTAGGACAAAATTACTAACGTGTAACGAGATGCACACACGCAGGGACGACTTGGTGCGACAACAAAACATTATGAATATTATTTATTACCGATTAATATTAATACTAATTAATATCTGATATGGAATGGAATGTATCACATCTATATTAATATTAAATAATTGGGAGATGTAAACATCAATGCTCAGCACTCAATGGCATGTTGTTTTTAGGATAAAAATAAATAAATAAATTTTTTTTACGGGGGTTTTTAGTCGTCATCATATTTATCAAAAAAATTTTCATAATTTTTTTTATCTACAACTATGAGTTTTTTATTCAAGTCAAAACCAAAAACGCCGCATGAATTAGTAAGAAATGTTAAAGATGCAATTAATAGATTGGATGGTCTGGATAAAAAAAAGGTTAGAATTTAACAATTTTGTGTAAGAGTCAAAAAACTATATGCATATATGCAGATGTGGTATAAATAGCATATAATTAATACACTTCTAATTAAGATAATTTATAATTACAATCATATTATTACCTGATCATAATTTGCGTCCAAAAATTCAGCAACTAATGGTTTATGTTGTGTTAATATTCCCTATAAATATACAAAAATATGTGTGTGTGTCACCTACAATAAATTTTTTTTCTAAAATAAAAATAAAAATACCTTGAATGTAGCAAATGCATCACTTGCGATATCAAAAGTACTTGTTTCTATATACTCAAAGAAATTATAAAATTGTGGAGAATATAAAATAATTTTTGTTAAGGACTCATGTCGGAGACATTCTCGAAGAATCATTCCACAATTAAGAGCTATTTCTGGATTTTCATATCTTTTGAAGAAAATTATTTTATAAGTAAATTTTAGATCAATTAATTATTCAATGAATAAATATATATGTGTAAAAGATTAATTAACAAGTTACCCTTTAAGTAGAACAAAAAGTATGTCTTCTCGATTTCTTAAATAATCAACAGTTGGTGTTAAAGAACCAATTTGTCTTTTTAAAAGATTATTAAAAACTTGTGACACATCTTTCTTTGCCTATAATAATCAATCATTAATATTTATCCAATTAATATGATTGTGCACACATATATAATTACCTCAAATTCAAATCTCCAAATATTTAATACTAATAAGTGTAAAATATCATTATTATAAACTTCTTGGGCCAATTGCGCAACCGTTTCTGGAACAGGTTCATTCTCTAAATTCATATATAATATTTATTATAAAGTATGAAAAAAACATAATTTATTTAAAATAATAAATAATAATTATTAATTACCACCGTCACCATAAAGAATTGTTTTCATGGTTGTTAGATTTTTCGATATGTCTTAACTTGCCTACGAAATGACATTGGGTGAGGACTACTCTTCTTTTATCTTTATCACTATACAGGTTATTAAGAGATCAGGAACCACTCTTTTGAGAGTAGGATCATAATAAACTTTCTCTCGTTTTTTTTTCAATTTATTTATTTGAAATTTTATATTTTTTTTGAACATTCCACAAAATAATTACTTTATGTCCAACATTTTTCATATTTTTTAGAAGGGGGAGAAGATATAGTTATAATTACTTATAATTATATGATGTAATTCTAACCTTTTTTTTATCCAGACCATCCAATCTATTAATTGCATCTTTAACATTTCTTACTAATTCATGCGGCGTTTTTGGTTTTGACTTGAATAAAAAACTCATAGTTGTAGATAAAAAAAATTATGAAAATTTTTTTGATAAATATGATGACGACTAAAAACCCCCGTAAAAAAAATTTATTTATTTATTTTTATCCTAAAAACAACATGCCATTGAGTGCTGAGCATTGATGTTTACATCTCCCAATTATTTAATATCAATATAGTAAACACTAATAATATGATTGCTTATTCAAAATCAAAAGACATGGCACACCTCAAAAGGATCAAGGAATTTATTTGATCCATTATGATATTTTTATCTGGTGATTCTTATTAATGATCTAGAGCAATTCTAATGTCATTTTCTGCTATTTATCTCTGTTCAAACAAGTAGTGTACAGTTTGATAAAAATCTATGGCTTTAATGCACCCAATTTATCCCAAAATTTAATCTATGTTGTAAAAAATTTGGTGGTGGTGGATAGGAAAATTTTTGCATTTGACTTAAAAAAAATTTAAACTATGCAAAATTATTATAGTTTGGTCACTCATTTTTTTTTGTGGTAAATTTTTACAATAAAAAAATCTTGATAATCTTGAAGTAACTATATCTAAGCAGTTTTTTATATCCATAGAAGCAAGACAATTCCTTTAACATGTTTTCATAGGACCCCGATCTATGTAAGGTTAGTGATGGATTAGTGCCATGGTAAAAAGAATTACCATTGCAAATACCCAGGATTATTCTATATATTGAATTATTGAATTTGCGGCGTTTTTGGTTTTGACTTGAATAAAAAACTCATAGTTGTAGATAAAAAAAATTATGAAAATTTTTTTGATAAATATGATGACGACTAAAAACCCCCGTAAAAAAAATTTATTTATTTATTTTTATCCTAAAAACAACATGCCATTGAGTGCTGAGCATTGATGTTTACATCTCCCAATTATTTAATATTAATATAGATGTGATACATTCCATTCCATATCAGATATTAATTAGTATTAATATTAATCGGTAATAAATAATATTCATAATGTTTTGTTGTCGCACCAAGTCGTCCCTGCGTGTGTGCATCTCGTTACACGTTAGTAATTTTGTCCTACATAGCAGTCGCAGGACATTGCGGATCTACAGGGGGTAACAATAACTTCATGGTCAAAATGGATTTCTTGTGATGAAAATAAATGTTAGTATAATTGGTTGATCGGAGAT